ATTCAACATGGCGGCGACGCGAAGTGCCTACGTCACGACGACCAAGCCCTATAGGAGAGACTGAACAATATCAAGCTACCAGGTCTTGATGGTGTCAGCCCCAGAGTCCTGAAGGCCTACTGTATGCAGAACATTTTTGTGGGATTGTATAGAACCTGTTCAACTTTAGCCTGAGTTGAGAACAGTTTCAGGGATGTGGAGGACCCATCTTGTTTGCAGTACCAAAGAAAAACCAGCCAACAGTCCTCAGTGACTATAGACATGTTGCTTTGACACACCACATATTGAAGGTCCTAGAGAGAGTTGTGTTGGTTCACCTTAGAGAACAGTTAAGCAGCTATCATGACCCCCTGCAGTTTACTTATCGATGTGGGGTGGAAGATGCCGTCATACACCCACTTCAACAAACCCACTGTCATTTAGACAAAGCAGACATCACTGTAGATCATTGTCTTTGATTTCTACAGTATATTTAACACAGTTCAGCCTGACTTAGTGAGAAAATTCAGAAGACGCGGGTGGAGGCATCAACAATCGCCTGGGTAAAAGACTACCTGACAAACAGATGCCAGTTTGTTAGATTGAATAGAAGGGTCAGTTGTCTAATCAAGTAGTCTGCAGCACAGCAGCTCCACAGGGTACCTTCACCATTCTTTTTAACTCTGTACACCTCTGACTTCCAGTACCAAACAGAGTCCTGTCATTTGGGGAAATACTTAGATGGCTCTGCTTCTTGTCCATTTTTAATTAACCCAATAACTGCAGAGTATAGGAAGCTGGTAAAATGGGTGGAAGGATGGATGATTTCTGGGAATCTTAATTATAGTATTAGTCCAAAATACTCTGAATTCAGATTTAGTCTGATTACAATAATCTTTTAATACAGAATCTTGTTTCGACTTAAAAAAAAAAGAGTAAATATTGCAGTTGACAAAATTAACTTACATCCACCACAATATATACATTGATAAACATGAGCACTGATGTCAGGCAGGCAATGCACTGTGGGAAGTTTGGCCCACTTCCACCAAGAAAACAATTTAGGATTATTGAATCAGAAACAAACAGACAAAAGAACCACAACAGTGTGTCGAACTGAGCTTGTCAGAGACATTTTTGATTTATGCCAAATATTGAAGCGTGGTCTGTGCTATTTTATTCCACGCCACAACGCAAGAGGGGCAATCAGGAACTAGCTGTGGGTCTAGATACGGCCTAGGCGGTGAGGAAGTGGGGGCAAGTTTGTGCGACAATGGAGCGACATGAGAGTGAAAAAGAGTGGGAATCCAGGTGAAAAAAGAGTCCCAGCGTTCTCACGCACCTCTCTCTTCTAGCTGGTCTAACTTCACGAGTTGTTTTCCACAAGGGCGGTCATACAAACAAAACAAGATGGTAAGGTACCAAACAGGAAATACGCATAGTGTAGAGTAGATTTAGATTTAAACAATCAGAGGCCTCCTGGCTGTGGTCACCTACAATTTTGGGCAGGCGCACCAGAGTGTCTGCGGAAAAGCTGGGGGCACAATTGCGTTCACTGTGACACACACGCTGACAACCTGGTTTCTGAGTATAAACCAGCCTATAGTCCTCCAGCGTGTCCTGGGTTATCCACTAGGCCTTCCCCTGCTGGGGCATGCCTCCAACACCATCCAGGGGCAGCATCTAAGGGGCATCAGCAAGAGATGTCCAAGCAGTCCCAGCATACTCCTCTCAATCAAGAGAAACTAGACATCCCTCCTAAAATTGCACTACACCTCCAACCCATTTCATACTGTTTCAGCGCAAACTGCACTTTGTGTAACACTACATGCTACAAGTAATGCATAAACATACATTCTTGTTTTACATTTTAATTCGTCCTCTCAGGATGCTAGTTCATAATTTTGTTCTTATTCATTTATGACTGTGCATTTTATTTGTATTTAGAGATGGTTTCTCTGAGAAAACTATAAATAGTGAGATAATGACTACAAAGACTTTTGAGTCAGCTAGGGAACATAAGGAACAGATCATTGTGATATCCTTCTGCTTGCAAGTGACCTATGTTTGTGTATTTTTAGGGTGGGGGGTTATAGAAAGGTAGGAATAATTACATACCATGAACCGTGTTGTTGTAAGTTGTCTTAATTGTGGTGTTATCATTCATGTTTCCTCCAACTGTTGTTTCCGTCTTGCTCCTACTGCGAAATATCAAGTCATGGATGATTTCTCCATTGTTAATTCAGACCTTAGCTTCCAACAGAACTTAACAGTTCTGCTTCCTGCTCTCTCTTTTGAAAATAGTCCACATATTTATGCCGTACTAGCTAAGGTGATCACAGCCACCTCATTAACTAGCCTCCTCTGTCCTTGGCTTGCATATAACCTTCTCATGTTTCTAAGAAAATAAACCTTTTCATTCTAAAATGGATAGGTAGGCCCCCCAGTCGCTTGGCTACGACTAAATTGAGATCAAAGTGTTACGAAGTTGAAACGAATCAAAATAATTGTGATTTTGATTAATCTAGTTGGCTTTGTGTTACTTAATATTTTAAAGATTTCTACTCCACAAAACACAAATTATTTTTATTTTGTTTTTATTGTTTTCAGAAGCCCCTGCTACCACTTCTCTTCATCCAACATCCATACCTTGGAACAGAGTAGTTATTGGCACCCTGCTCTTCATCCTCTACAACATCATACTTATCCTATGTATATATGTGTACCGGCAATGGGCTCGAGGTAGGTTTTTTAAAATATATTACTATAATAGTAAATATAATAAATATTTTTATATATTTGATTGTTAAACATCAAGTCAAGCAGTTCAGTTTGTGTCCTAAAAGCATTTCACTTGCTTTTGAGACATTTCTGTTCATCTATTTCTGGGTGAAATAGGTTATATAAATATAAAACATTTCAGTGGTATAATAGCCTTCAGTGGAGGTAAAAGACAAAATAAGTTAAAAGTGTTTAAACACAAGCATTCCCAGGTGGAGCTGAATCAAATCACATGGTAGCAATAATCAATAATTATAACAAAATTATAAATATTATCTGAACATTTTTTACTTCAAAATGTAAGAAAATTGATAAAAAGTGATAAGTTTTGTATTTCTTTTTCTGCAGCCCGGATGGATGCTAAGAGGACAGCTGCTGATCATATTGTGATGGACTGAAAACAATACCAAAAACATCAAATGAGTATTCCACTTCCATTACACATCTTATGAAGAATTTGACTTTGGAGAGTTCAGACCCAATAAGCATGAAATAGGCTCCAATAGAATATAAACACCAAAAAGATTTAACTTCAGTCTAATTGTAAGTAGGAATCAATACTTCTTAAACAGAATTACAGGAGCAACAAGCTAAATTTTTTTATTGTAGACAATTAGATTTTCCAAAAAGTTTTGCGAGGAAGTAAAAATGGAATATTGTAAGACATCACAAACCAGCTCTTTTAGTTGTTTTTCAGTCTCTTGTCAGCGTTCACATCAAATGTTAGATTGTGAAATATCGTTTTGGGGGACTCTAGGGCCTTTGTCTTCTAAGCTTTAAGCGGTTCTGCATTCTGTCGCAATTGTAATATTTTCCTGTTATGTTTTAAAACATGTTTTTTTATCACTTGTTTAGCCGCAATATGAATATTGAAATGATGGCACCCAATACCTTTTTTTGGAAACGTCTTGTGAACATTGTTTTTTTTCTACAGTAGGTTATCAGGGGTGGATCCAGGATTTTCAAAAGGATGTGCGCACATAAGGCTTATGTCAAGACAATGTGAAGCTAAATCAGTGTTTCTCAACTGGGGGTCGCGTACTCTTAGTGGTCCGTGAGGGTATTGCAAGGTGTACATGAAAGTCTTTTCTTAGGTGGATCTGTTCTGCTTTGTTAAGACCCAATTGAAAAATTAAACAAGCTTTTATTAACCAAAAAGTATGTTTTTCTTTGTGCTTACTTTCAGCTTTGATGCAAATCAAAACCAAGAAACATCTTGGAAGTAAAGAACAGTCTGAAATCAGCAATTTTTTCACACTGAGCTATCAGAGCTTATCAAAGCAGCTCAGGTGTCTTAACATTAACAACAATCATCAAGTTTAAATGTGATAATAAAGATGTTACTCAGAGGAGTTCCAGGTTTATAAGTGCAAGTTCATAATATGATTTTATTTTGTTTTATTTCGATTCCTTAATCATTTCCAGGCAACACATTTATGTTGTTTTTTTTTATTTGAGATGGAAAGGATACCGTGATAAGAATGATTTCCAATTGTCAATTTTCAATTGTTGTACTCCTCTATAGCTGAAACTATATGATGAAAGCAGATGGTTGAAAAGTTCACTACATGTATTTACACCGTACGGCCTGTCGCTCTGATGTAA